TTTGATAGTCTATTCAATCGTTTTAACAGCAAATAAAGGCTAAAATGTTTCAATGATTGGACACTAATTCATATCATACTATATATATCGACCGAAAAAATGTACATTTAATACAAATTAAACTTTTAAATTGTCATGAATTCACTTCGAGTAACTATATATACGGTATATATTTATATGTATTAATCATACTCTATATATACTCAATGAAAACACAGAATCGCGTGACAGACACACAAATAAACCTAATCATCGCCTAACCGGCCATTAGTTTAGTGCCCAAAGCTATCGGCGGGTACGGTATGACACCCCCGGGCCCGGGTAGCGTAGACATGCCGTTGTGGAGGTCGGCGTCGATCTCGCGGGCCGCCTGTCGGCCCTCATTGATGGCGTGCACCACAAGCGACTGTCCTCTACGGCAGTCCCCGGCCGCGTAGATCCTATCGATGGGTGTCCTATAAGTGCCCGCTTTAGTCAATACATTAGATCTCTGGTCTTTCGTGAGTCTCAGCTGTTCCGTGAGGTAAGTCTCGGGTCCCAAGAAACCCATCGCCAGCAGCACCAGATCGGCCTAAGAGGAGGTATACCACCGTATGATCAGTTGATATATAGTCACATACCGTTCCCCTCACACATACCTCGTAGATCTGCTCAGAGTTGGGCACTTCCTTCATAATCCATCGGCCGTTGTCTTGAGTCCACTCGACCCGCACGGATCGGATTCCCTTCACATTACCGGCGCCGTCGTCCAGGAATTCCTTGCTATTGATGCCGAATATTCTGGGATCCGATCCCCACTTCAGCTCCACCTCCTCGTGACCGTAGTCTTTGCGGTATATTCGCGGCCATTGGGGCCACGGGTTGTCCGCACCGCGAGTATCTCCCGGTCGCGGGAGTATCTCAAACGACACGATATTCTTAGCGCCCTATCAGTGGACACAAGAATATTACAGAATATTCTGTATATAAGAACTAATGGCTATAATTACCTGTCGGAGGGAAGTGCCGATGCAATCACATCCGGTGTCACCGCCGCCGACGACAATCACTTTCTTGTCTTTAGCCGTCAGGTGAAGGAAATTGTTGTTTGAGTTCCAGAGCTGTTTCTGCGACGACTCCAAGAATGTCATCGCGAAGTAGATCCCATTCAGTTGCCGACCAGGAATCGGCAGATCCCGGGGCCACGTGGCGCCTGTCGTCAGACACACGGCGTTGAAGTTCTTCAGCAGATCGTCGCCAGTGATGTCTTTGCCGACATTGACGCTCGTCTTGAACTCAATGCCCTCTTCGGCCATCAGATCTACCCTTCTTTGGACCACTTGTTTAGACAACTTCATCGTCGGTATGCCGTACTGGAGGAGACCCCCGACCCTATCGTTCCGCTCAAACACTGTCACCAAATGACCCTTTTTGTTGAGCTGATCAGCACATGCCAGCCCCGA